CTTCTCTAAGGTTATAAACCAACTCCAAGGAAAAAAACGAAACATGTCTAAGATTATAACCAATTAAAAAACAACAACTAAACATCTCTAAGGTTATAAACCAACTCCAAGGAAAAAAAAACGAAACATGTCTAAGATTATAACCAATTAAAAAACAACAACTAAACATTTCTAAGGTTATAAACCAACTCCAAGGAAAAAAAAACGAAACATGTCTAAGATTATAACCAATTAAAAAACAACAACTAAACATTTCTAAGGTTATAAACCAACTCCAAGGAAAAAAACGAAACATGTCTAAGACTATAACCAATTAAAAAACAACAACTAAACAAGTTTAAGATTATAACCAATTATAAAAACAACTAAACACGTCTAAGATCATAACAGCTTTGCGTATCGGAATTATTCAAAATATTAAGCAATTAGATCCCTGGTTGGTCAGTGGCAAGTTTCCGGACTTACAACGCTAAAATCCCCGTCCCACCAAACATGCTCGCCCTTTCAGCCGTGGGGGCGTTATAATGTGACGGTCAATCCTACTATCCGTTGGTAAAAAAGTAGTCCAAGAGTTGGCGGTGGGTGGTGATGACTAGTTGCCTTCCCTCTAGTCTTGCACTGCTAAACTAGGGACGGCTAGCGCAGATATCCCTCGTGTAGCTTTGCGCGAAATTCAAAAACAAACAAACAACGCTAAAATTCGCGATTCGATTCCCATCGAGTGCGCAGATAACCCAATGTGACTTTGATCCAAAAATAAACAAACTGATATAAAACATTTGCGGAAATTTTTTCCTCATATCAAGAGAGGAATCTGACTAGGCTTTAATTTCATACCAAAAAATATTGATGTATATTATGTGACAGTTAATATCGTCTAGCTTTGAAACACCAACCTTCCAGTTTTCCTCTGATGCTGGAAGTGTAAGACCTGTGCAAGGGGATAACTCATCATCTTCATCCATGTCGTCATGGAAACCCATGGAGGAATGTGTAAACTGCTTGCTCCAGTCACACTGTGTGTATATATATATATATCTGTAGATAACATTTTTATACACGGACAATCGTACACTTCCAATATAAAATTATATATATATTCACTATTAATTTCCCTTTCTAGACTTCAACTAATACACCTCAGGTTCAAACATTGATTAAGTCAACATACATGACTTGTAGTACCATATTTAGCACGTGCATTTCGTAAACCAGATTTCCAATAGAAGAAGCAATTATTACTATGATTTTTTTATTTTAATATCCTGCTGTGCCGTACAGCAGGGCCGAATTAACACAAACACGCAGATTACGCTATTGTGTAGGGTTCCCTGCTGAATTGTGGGGTAGGGGGCACTCGAGGTCAGTCTTCTTTGCCCCCCCTCCCCTAAGATCTCTCGAAATGATAGGTTCTTCGAGTGTTGTACTGAAGGATTTACTGTAAAAAAACAAACAAAATAACTTACAGATTTTGTGTGGTTGACAAACAGATCTTGCAATAGAAGCTTCAGTTCCTGCAAAACTCCAGTGATTGTACCAATCCTCATCTCGTGAACTTG